TGGCCTGAAAAACACACTAGCTGTGCCTGTGTGCGTGCATACTCAAAATCCTGGGTGGAGAATGGAAGAGGAGAGATTGCGGCATGGCCATCCCCCCCGAGGGTGCTGTCTCACTTTCCTTCTGTCTCTTTAGTTCTCGTAATGAAGCCTTTTCACCTATGGCTTATCCAGTGTTGAAGCCTAAAAAGGGAATATCCCAACTTTCCCCAAGAAGAAACCCTTTACATATGTGACTTAACTCTGGGAATGAAGTAATTGGGTAAAAAGACTGTATGAAATTCAAATTAGAAGTGTAATTTAATATAGAATAGAGAATTGCTCAGTTTTCAGACTGAAGGCTTTTTGCCTATGGCTTAACCAGATGCACCAGCCCAAATGGTGAAAATCCTAACTTTGCCCTAGAACAAAACCCTTTACATATGTGATTTGGCTCTGAAAATGGAGTAATTGGCAAGCACATGTACCCTATAGCAAATTTAAAAAGAAAAAAATAAAACAAAGTTACTGCAATACAAAAACACTGTATAAAATTATTTCAAGGCTATATATATGTGTGTGTATATATATATATATATACATAATGTATATATAAAACAGAAATGAATTTTGTGTTTATACTTGAGTATAAATAATATCTCATTATATACACACAAATATTCAAATAACTCTAAGCATATCTGATAAACAATTCTCCACTTCTATATTCCTAAATTTTCATATTGTGCTTTGTCAATTTAGTGCCACAATTATTTAACTTTAAAATTATTTATTTGTTCATGCTTTTATTTTTAGTTTGAACAGATAGAGACACACAGAGAGAAAGAAGGAAAGTGAGGGACCAGCAGTTAGCAGAATGGCTATGTCACTGGACTCCGATGTAGTCGACCGTGGTTCGAGTCCCGGATCCAGTGGCTTAAACTCACGCCAGGCACGTGTGCGTGAGTGCCCAAGATCCCGAGAGCAGAATGGAGGAGAAGGGATTGCGGCGTGGCCATCCTCCATGGGGGGTGATTTCTCACTTTCTGTCTCTCTGTCTCTCTCTTGTCTTTCTGGCGAGCACACGTGCCCTATAGCAAAAACCTCTCCAAAAAAAAAAAAAAAAAAGAGGGAAAGTGAGAAAGCAAGCCGCCAGGTCATGTACTTAACCATGGTCAGTCGTGTGGGGGTGTCCAGCACCTTAACCACCACGCCACCTGTTGATCCCCATTTAGTGCCACAATTTTAATTCCAGCTTTTTTGTTTAATGCTAACAGTTAAGGGGTGTTCCTTCAGCAGGGAACTATTCTAAGTTCTTTACACATACAATTCATTTCATCCTAACTACAATACTATGATATAGGTGCTGTAATTATCCCCATTTGGCAGTTGAGGAAACTAAGGCTCAGAAAGGTTAAGTAACCAGTGTGACTCTACAGCCTGTATTCTGGCCACATGACCTCTTGAGTACCTTGATCACTATAACTGTAACTTACTGAGTGACTGCCTCTTAACTCTTTAAGTGCATTGCATTCAGTGTTTGGCACTATACTTCATTTAATTTAATCTCACAATAACCTAAGAGAATAGTGATATTATCTATTTTATATAAAGTAACTGAGGCTCAAGTTTCAAAATAACTTACCCAGTCACAAAGATAATAAGTGGTAGAGATGGGATTTGAACCAAGGATTATATGATACCAAATCCAACCTTCTTCCATTATACTTGACCGTCTCGTTTCAAAGACTGACTTTATTAGACAAATAAAGTAGCATAAAGAACCTGCCTACTCCTCTCCCAAAGAATGAACCAATCACTCTATACATCACTCATTTCTCTCTTGGTTGAACTCCTCAAAGTCCCATAATCAGCACTTACCCAAACATTTCTCAAATCCAGATAAGGAAATTTAAGCACATGATATTCAGTTACTTTTTCAGGTTTCAGACTCTATACACCATAGAGTTAAGCCCATTTAATTCCACAGAATTCCCTGATCTTATTGCCTGACCACTACAGTCTTATTTCTCCTTCCTATTCATTTTCCCCTAAACTCTCCCCTTGAGGGGTAAGGACTCACTGCACCATAAAGCTCAACTATTTTCTTTGTACTATATCAGCATTAAACATAACATGTTTCTTCTGAAAGAGCTAACTGACCTGGTTCACACCAAGCCAGAGCATTCTCAGGCTGAGCCACAAAAGTACACGGACTTAGGAATCTTCCTAAGCTTTTCAGGATATCCCCTCAAATAGTACACAACGGGCATACAACTTTAAAAACATGCTATATGAAAAGCGGAGATGTAGATGTCATCATTTAAGCTCATACAGTACTTGACCAGGAGTGGTAAATGGAAACTAACCTGCAAAGAGATAGAGGAATAAATAAATTGGAGGATGCAAATCTAGAGTCAAATTATAATTAGTTTAGCCATGAAGGGAAGGAGAATATTGAAAGAGCGTTAAAAGCCAGTTAGAAGTTTTTCCCCTGCCCTCTCTTGTAGGAGAAAAGTCCCTCTTTACTGTTTGGGCACCTGGCATACAGTAAGTACTAAATAAACACAATAGTCAAATTCTCTGTTGTATTTTTTTCTTTTGAAAATCAGTTTGTAGCTGGCTTATATCGCTTCTGGAAAACAAAAATAAATCAAATGAATATAATCTCCACAATGTGTACACTTATGTGTGAAATGAGTTTCTCCTAAATGAGGCAGATAGTAAAGAATTAATAGAAAGATGCAGCCAGCGGGTGGCATGGTGGCTAAGGGCACCGGACTCCAACATGTTCCATCACGGTTCAAGTCCCGGACCTGGCAGTGTGCTTTCTCCCTTTCCCTCCCTCCCTCTCTCTCTCTCTCTCTCTCTCTTTCTCTCTCTGTCCCTCGCTGGTCAAACTAAAGTAAATAAAGTTAAATAAAATAATTCTTTAAAAAATAATTAATAGAAAGTGATGGAGCTATGTTATAAATAGAATAGAACCTAAGCAACCTCCCAAAGAAAGCTGCACAGTACTATAGGAAGAAGTCGGGACTTGAAGTTGGGAAAATCTAGATTCAAATCTCAGCCTCATCTCTCAGTGATTGTGTGAACCTGCCACTACACTATTATTCTAAGATTTGTCATTTGTGAAACAGGGAATACCACTAGTCTCTTTAATGTTGTTGGGAAGATTAAATGGGAATGAAGTCTCTTCATAAAGCGGCTCTATCTTCTTTTTGGATCCTTTCATCCAGGACAGAAATAGCATACTGACAGTTCAATGATGCAAAGTGTATGGAAGTACAGTTGTGGACCATAGAAAACACAAAAGGGGAGATTATGAAGGAAGGCAAAAACAAAGGAAAAAAAAAAAGATGTTACATCTAGGGTGTGACATCTTGGTGTTGGGTGTGTATTCACAGAAGGGAGTAGTGAGCCATTCCTCCCTTTCCCTCCCTCCCTCTCTCTCTCTCTCTCTCTCTCTTTCTCTCTCTGTCCCTCGCTGGTCAAACTAAAGTAAATAAAGTTAAATAAAATAATTCTTTAAAAAATAATTAATAGAAAGTGATGGAGCTATGTTATAAATAGAATAGAACCTAAGCAACCTCCCAAAGAAAGCTGCACAGTACTATAGGAAGAAGTCGGGACTTGAAGTTGGGAAAATCTAGATTCAAATCTCAGCCTCATCTCTCAGTGATTGTGTGAACCTGCCACTACACTATTATTCTAAGATTTGTCATTTGTGAAACAGGGAATACCACTAGTCTCTTTAATGTTGTTGGGAAGATTAAATGGGAATGAAGTCTCTTCATAAAGCGGCTCTATCTTCTTTTTGGATCCTTTCATCCAGGACAGAAATAGCATACTGACAGTTCAATGATGCAAAGTGTATGGAAGTACAGTTGTGGACCATAGAAAACACAAAAGGGGAGATTATGAAGGAAGGCAAAAACAAAGGAAAAAAAAAAAGATGTTACATCTAGGGTGTGACATCTTGGTGTTGGGTGTGTATTCACAGAAGGGAGTAGTGAGCCATTCCTATAAAGTAGCCTTCTAAACTGAAGAATAAAGGTGTGGTATGTTACCTTTTGAAACAATCATTCTAAATTCCTAAAAGGCTTTCCAAGTAATGGAGAGCTAACGGTTCATGGAGAGAGATTGAGAGAAGTGACTGGGATTTATAACAAGATACCATCTTATTGCAGAGTTGTAAAGTGAAGGAACAATGAATGGATAATTTGAAGACTTAGGTTGGATAGCCACTTACTAGTATGACCTTGGGCAAGTTACTTAAGAGATCTAGAGTCTCAATTGCAAAACGGAGATAATACCTTACTGAGCTACTGTCAAGATTAAATGAGATAATGGATAGGAAAGCTGTTAATGCAATACAAATGACAGGTATTATTAGGAGTTAGATTCTCCACCCACTTACAACAGAGTTATGTCCATGACCTTGGGCATGATTTTACTTCTTTGCACCTCGGTTTCCTCATCTATAAAATGGGGAGGATGATACCATCTACCCTACATAATATATTCTGAGAATCAAAGAAGACCATAAATGACATATCAACGTCTTTTTAACTGTCACACAGTGTTACAGGCACATAAAGAATTGCCATCGTTCCTAACACATTTCTTGCATATCGAGGGCCGTGTTCATACAGAGAAGCACGTATTTTTATACTACACAGGTGAGGAAGCCTTGCATGCATTCATGCATCCTAGAGTGGGGCACGGGGCACAGACACACATCTACGGATTCCAGGGGTGTGACTTGCACGCTTGGGAGGACCGTAGGACAGGCTGCAGGGCCGGGAATCCGGGGAGTGGGCGCTAGAGTGGGGGCGGGGGGATGCAGGATGCATGCATGTGAAAGGCTGGGGGCACAAACACGCATGCCCAAGCCGGAAACGTTTTCGGGGGAGTGCAATGCGCATCCCCGGAATGAGACGGGGTGGGGGGGGATGCGCTGTGCAAACCCGGAGGGCGGCCCTGGGGTGCGATACCGCATGCCCTGGGCCAGGGCTCTTTACCTTGTCGCTGTAATCCCTCAGGACCCGCTCGATAGCCCCCGCTTTGCCTGCCTGGACGATGTAGAGGGCGCGCTCCTCATCCATGGCCACATTCGGGGAGCAGAGGCCAACCTGCCCGGCCAAGCCAACCACGTAAACGCCTCGCGCCCCCGCTCGCTCGCTCCTTCCCAGCTTCCTTCCTTCCCTCCTTCCCTCCCTCCCTCCTGCCTCCAAGCCCCCAGCCTCCGCCCGGACAGGCCCGACGTCACCGCCCCTCAACTTTCACCCCGCGACGTCACGGCTCCCCCAGCAACCGGCGCCTCGAGGCCGCCCCCGGCAAGGCCCAGGACTGGGTCAAGGCCTGGCGAGCGGCCTGAGGCGGGGCCGGGCTACACTTTCAAAGCACGGCCTGTCCCTCCCTCTGTGAGGACGCCAGTCTTTTGAGTGGGCTTTCACAGACACAACTGTTCGCTGCCGACCCTCCTCTGTGAATCATTCTCAGCGGATGAGAGCGACTCGGCTCTTCCCCGCCCATCTATGAGCCAGCAGCTAGCCGGACTACCATTCCCTGCATGCAACGGGGCGAGCCCACGCTGCCGCCCGCTTTATAGGAGTGCCGAATGGCATGTCGGGATTAGTAGTCATCCTGCGGAAAAGACTTCTCCCCCAGAGGCATGATGGGAACTGTAGTCCTGCGAGGGCCGGAAACCAGAGTCCGGCGTCTTCTCTGAGGCCAGCGGAGGGGAGACCGTTAGGGGGAGGGTCTGAGCGTCGTCTGTGCCTCGGTTTTGTCCCTTACGCCGCCGACTGTCCTGCTCCAGCAGGTTGGTGGGACTGACTGACCATCGCGGAAACTGCCACCCCTCGATGGGAGCTGTCAAGCACTGGCTTAATTCCCTCTTTACTTGCTTAGCGGTTTAGGCTTCTGAAATTCTTTCCTTCCTCCCTTGTTTGCAGTGATGTTACATGTTCAGCCGCGGGGATGTGGGAATTTGGAGCCAGTTATCCAGATAACAGGGAACTCGGCGAGCTTTTTGCCTTATTAATAATTGCCGCCATGCATCTTGTGCCTTTGGGGCTCCCGACTGTGTTAGGTAGTTTCCTTACAGCCTTTGATTCTCACAACACTTTCGGTGGAACCAAAAGAAACCCGAGTCAGGAATTTGTCCTAAATTGCATAGCCAGTGAATGGGAGATCAAGATTTGAATCCAGATTTTCCCCCCGAAGACAACTGCCCTCCATCCACCAGGAAATGTAGTAATACAATTAGAGCAGGGCTGGGAGTGGTGATGGAGGCTGCCGTTGTGCAAGGCACTCACATGCTTCATCTGGGTTAACTCACTTGATTTCTCACAAATTCATCCCACATACATTTGGGAACTATATACTTGACAGGTTGGTAGTTTGATTTATGAAAATTGCAAATTTTGAAAACGGAATTTGAACTCACAGCCCGTGCTCTGCACTCCCAAACTTTTGGTAGAGAGTGGATGGATTCTCCAAGTAATTTCCAGATTTCCACTTCAACCAGCCTTTACCTTTGATGCTGACCTTGCTGGCCTCTCTCCTCTTGAGTTGTGCTAAAGAGGAACTAGAGGAGATGGGGGTTGGCAGGTGGCCCGGTGGACTCCTGCCGGACTTCCACATGGCCACCCACGGTTCAAGTCCTGGACCTGGTGGCTTGCTTTCTCGCTTTCCCTTTCTCTCTCTCTCCCTCTCTTTCGCTCTGTCTTTCTGGTCAAATTAAAAAATAATAATAACAAAATTAAATAAATCTTAAAAAAAAAAAAAAAAAAAAGGAGCTAGAGGGGTTGAAAATTTACTTTTACTTACCTAGGGACCATCAGGTAGCCTGATGGTTAAGGTGCTGGACTTCCCCATGAACATGGTTGGCATCCCAGAACAGAAGGCTTGAAAGCTCAGGCCAGACATGCACCTAAAATATCAAAGAAGAGGAAACAGCAGTTAGTGTAATGGCTATGTCGCTGAACTTCCATGTAGTCGACCACGGTTCAAGTCCCAGACCCAGTGACTTAAACTCGCTACGCGCTTGTGCATGCATGCCCAAGATCCCGAGAGGAGAATGGAGGAGAACGGCGTGGCCGTCTCACCTGGGGAGTGATTTCTCGCTTTCTGTTTCTCTGTCTGTCTCTGTCTTTCTGGCAAGTGCACGCGCCCTTATAGTGAAACCCTCTCCAAAAAAAAATAAATAAATAAAAAGAAGAAGAATGAAGGAGAAGGGATTACAGCATGGCACAAAAACTTAAAAAAAATCTTAAAAAAATAAAATTTACTCATCTGATAATTGAGTTTTTTGTATGTTGTGCAAGATATTGTAGTAAATACTGGGAATTTGGAGATTAAAAGCAAACATGGAAACTTGTAGAGTTTTTGGTCTTGTTTCTGTGGATTGTGTTTTTTCAGGCAATAGGTATTTATTGAGCATGTTAGTTAAGCCAGGCATCAGAGTAGGTGCTGTGTCTGTCGTCAGATTTTACCATCTCTCAAAATAGCAGACTTCTAAGGAATGCCAGAGGTAGTTAACTACATTCCTAAGGTAATAGTAATATCTTACCATTATTTTTAACAGATGACAAAACATTTTAATATACATTATCTCAAAGGCTCATTGAAGAAGGTATTGTTCCATTTATAGATAAGGAAGCAGGGTCAGATGAGTTAAGTAACACTAACTTAGACCCAAATGTACTTGGAAGCCTACTCTGTCCAGTACTATATTAAGTGCTTTTGGGTAGCCATATGTCTATTTTTAGAGCAAGAGTATATGGAGGATTATTAGCAAGCATGAAGTATCTCAGTAGAGCTGTTTTGTATAAAGGGGGTCTTACACATCTTTGAAATGTCAATTTTCCAGAAGCAGGTTGTTTTTCGCCTTTAGTTCTAAAAAGAGATTTTTTAAATGCGAAACTACATGAAGTAATGGCTTGGGAAACTGTTCTTACTAATTTTAATTAAATGTTAACATTCTGATTTTGGAATCGAGTTATCTTTTTTTTTTTTTCTTTTTTGAGAGGTTTTTGCTATAGGGTGCGTGCGCTCGCCAGACAGACAGACAGACAGAAAACGAGAAATCACCCCCCAGGGGGGATAGCCATGCTGCAATCCCTTCTCCTCCATTCTCCTCTTGGGATCTTGGGCACCCATGCACATGCGCCCAGCGTGAGTTTTTTAAGCCAGCGGGTCGAGGACGCGAACCGCAGTCGACTACATGGGAGTTCAGCGACATAGCCGTTATGCTAACTGCTGGTCCCGGAATCAAGTTATCTTTTGACAACTGATGAGAGTCTGGTCCCAGAAAAACTCAATGACTTGTCCAAAGTCAGTATGTAAAAGCAGACTCTGGGACTAGAGCCTAGCTAAATCCTGGGTTACTACATCAAGTTATTTCCCTGAATGTTCGTTATCTGATACTCTCAGTGACTAGAGTCTCTAGTCAAGCACTGCCTCCAGTTCCAGTTGATTGCTAGGTGGCATGGTACCGAGGAATTAGGATGTAGGGCCTGGATAGTCAAAGCAATGAATATTTATCCATGAGCCATTGCTCTGAAAGGTAGCAATATAAATAATACATAAGTAAGTATATTGCTTTAATATTCCCAAACTGTCTCCACACAGACGATCTACTTTAATTTTCATAATAGTTGAGAGATGCAAGGTCAATAGGACAAGCACTGTCTTTTCCTTTACAGAGCAAAAGGGAAGGTCATGGTGGTCACATGCTCATAAGCAATTGAGTTTGCTAATAAGTGGTATAGTTAAAGGCCGGTGGTGCTCTGTGCTCTGATAACATACAGGGTTAGAGACTTCCAGGTTAGAGCCAATGAAAAAGCCTGCAAATAAATACCAGCCATTTATTTTGGACTTTGATATATCCTGCTGTGGCATTTCCTCTTGCCATGACATTGGGCTAGTTGGAATGTGCCAGACTGAAGGTCTTTAAGAGGTACCTGGTGCTAACAGGATTTTATTTTTATTTAACTTTTTGAATTATTCAATTTTGAAGTTGGAATGTGCCAGATTGAAGGTCTTTAAGAAGTACCTGGTGCTAACAGGTTTTTTTTTTTTTTTTTAATTTTTATTTAACTTTTTGAGTTATTCAATTTTGACCGGGAAGAGAGAGAGAGAGAGAGAGAGAGAAAGCCGCTAGGTCCGAGACTCGAACTGCAGTGGGCCATGTGGGAGTCCAGCGTCCTAACCACCTTTCAACCTGCTGGCCCCAAGGTGCTAACAGCTTTTAAAATCCAACTCTTGCACATACTGCATGTTTTATACATTCTCTTTAGAAGAAAGAAATTTAGAAACGAAACCGTTCGGTCTAGTTGCTACAGCTCCAGAATTGGAGTTCAGGAGCTGCATGGTGATGCAGAGGTAGAATGTGACCCTCTATAAGGCTGACCCATGGTGGAAGGTTCTAGTTATGCCAGGCATGCTGGTATCCATGATCGAGGACTGGCTGCAGCTGGGGGTGGAGAGCAGCATCAGGATCCTATTGGGTGTGCTATCTTCTCTGACTCTCTCATTCATGGAAGAAATCAAATGAATAAATTTTAGGGAAAAGAAAAAAACCAGAATTGGAATTCAAAGAATTTCAATAATTTAAGATATAACTTGTCACTCAGCAACCACTAACTCACTATGTGAGGCCACTCAACTTCCTTTAAACCACAATGTCTCAGCCATAAAATAAAGGGATTGATCCAGATCCTACTTTAGTTCTTGGTCCTAAAATTTTATGATTCTGAGAACAACAATAAAAACACATTTTAGCAGGCTTACTCTCTATAGATATCTATTAATATTAATTAGAGTGGGATTGTACAAATCAATATGTGCAAATCAAATATTAATATGATATGTGCAAATTATTGCTTGGGCATACCTGCAAAGATTCTGATTTAGTTGATCTGTGACGAGGCCTGGGTATTAGTAGTTTTAAAAACTTTCCAGTTGATTTAACTGAGCAGCCAGGATTGAGAACCATTGGACTAATATTTTGACAAACTATCAACCACAAACTAGTTTTTTGGTAGACTGCCAAACCAAGTGCATGTAACTTATTAGTCTTTGACATGTCAGAAGAACCT